TAACGTACTTCACGGGCGAGTTGCTTACACACCTAAGTTGCTTACTTTTACTAAGACCTTACTAAACTACTCTTCTTACACTAATGCATTCCCCACAACACTACTTAGACGCGCTAAAAGAATGTTAGATATAGCTTACACTCTAAGCTTTTAAATAAAACATAAAACTCTTAAAAAAATATGCTATAGCTATGTATAAGGTTTTATAAAAGATAATAAATAACTACAGCGCTAGATAACCTTTACAAGCTAATTCTACAGCTAAATTATAAAGGCTAGGTAATAAAAAGAAGTAGGTGATTATTAAGACTATACTTAAGCTATATACGCAAGAAATTTCCCCTTAGATAGCATTTATAGCTAATATAGCTAATTCTTTGTGCGCTAAGCGTAATCTAGGCTATATTTACATAAACTAGCCTAGTATGTTTATAAAGCATTATTTAAAGCTTAAAGTAAAGTTTTAAGCGTAAGTATAGTTAAGAGATATTTAGCTAATTATAAACTCTGTCTTACTAAAGTTGTACATGTTATTATCCTAAATGCTATACTTAGCTTTAATATTCTCTATAAGGCTAAACCTGCTTTAAATTACTCTAGAACTTTTATAAAAAGCTTTTTTATAGTTATACTTACACTTAAACATTACTTTAAGCTCTAAATAACACTTTATAAACATACTAGGCTAGTTTATGTAAATATAGCCTAGATTACGCTTAGCGCGCAAAGAATTAGCTATATTAGCTATAAATGCTATCTAAGAAGAAATTCCTTGTGCATATAGCTTAAGTATAGTTTTAATAATTACCTGCTTCTTTTTATTACCTAGCCTTTGTAATTTAGCTGTAGAATTAGCTTATAAAGGTTGTCTAGTGCTATAGTTATTTATTATTTTTTATAAGACTCTACACATAGCTATAACACATTTCTTTAAAAGTTTTATATCTTGTTTAAAAGCTTAGAGCGTAAGCTGTATCTAACATTCTTTTAGCGCGTCTAAGTAGTGTTGTGGGGAATGCATTAGTGTAGAAAGGGTAGTTTAGTAGGGTCTTAGCAAAAGTAAGCAACTTAGGTGTGTAAGCAACTCGCCTGTGAAGTACGTTATAAAAAAGCGCTTTATAAAAATCTAAAGGTTATTTAAAGCTAGTTTTACCTAGTAGCTAATATAAAAGCTAAGTATAGTATTTAAAATAAAACATATATAACTTTAATAAGTTAAGCTTTATAATAGGCTAAATATTAACTAAAGTAGTTATTATAGCTTTAAAAAAATAAAAATAGCTAAAAGTAATATAGTAAAGTAATAAAAAGTAAATAATAGTTATTTAAAGTATTAATATAATAAAGTAAGCTATTTTACTTTTTATTATTTTTAAAAGCTACTATTACTTTTTTACTTAGTATAAAAAAATTTACTTTAAAACTAAGTTATTATAGTCTTTAAAAACAGCTAGATAATAAATAAGCTTAAGCTGTAGTAGTTAAAGCACTTTAATAAGCATATAAAAAAAGTTATAAGCACTTATTAGCTTTTTATTATTAATAGCTATAAAAGCTATAACTTACTTAATTTTTTGTAGTACTATAAAAAAAATAAAATTATTACTATTTATATACTTTTACACTTATTACACTTTTTATAGCCTTTTAATATAGGTTGTTTTACCTTTTTAAAAAAAGCGTATAAGTGCTAAGCTAAAGATCTTATATATATGTTGAATGGACTCTATGCTAGCTATGCAAGGCAAAGAGGTTTGCACGGTGTACACATCGCG